CACTGCAATTATCTGCCTATAGTCTAATTTCATTTGCCATATCTATATAGTTAAGACTGTTGGTGAAGTAAAATCTTTCATTAAATTGATTGGAAAACAACATGGTAAAGCATTAGCAGTTTGGAAGTATATACAAAAAAAGGTAGATAAACAATTTATGTATAATATGAAAAACATGATTTTATTTTTCTTCCATTTTACTATTTGAATAATCGCCTTTCTGCCTTTTATAACTTAATTAAATTCAGATAAATCCATAAGTCATTGGAGCTTTTAAAAAATATGAAAAGAAAATAATAAACTCAGCCAAATTATTATTAGCAAACCGTCTAAAGATGTGTGTGATGAATGCACCCTTTTTAAACGTATATTAAAAGCAAGAAGTAATATAAATGAAGATCTTAATGAGCAGTTTACCTCACATATACAAGATTATCGTGCTATGAGTGAGACCTATGAAAATAATATTTAAGCGGCAAGAAGGAGTAATTAGTTTTTACTTCATGTTTTTTCTTTCGACTTTACTCAAAATGTGGAGCTACCTCATAATCCACAACAACCAGGAAGGTGATACTATTCATCATTGTTAAAGGTATACCAATTTGAGTTAGTGAATAAATATATTGACTGTCATTAGCATACTCTTTACACTGAAAGAAAGGCATTAAAAGGAGCAAACAAAGTTACATCAATCTTGTATTTATTTCTTACTTCCGCTGCAAGTAAATAGAGTTGAGCAATTTAATCGATTTAACCTTTAAAATATATTTAAAATGTGACTTAACTATATAGATATGGCAAATGAAATTAGACTATAGGCAGATAATTGCAGTGAACAAAATAAAAATTTGTGCCTTTTATGATATCTTCTTTGGGCTTGCCATATTAGAATGTTCTAAAAGATTAAATACCATTTTCAAATTAAGGGCTATACTCGAAATTCTGTTGATTATATATTTGATAATACCAAATGGGAGTATACCAAATCAGAAGTCTGGTGTGTTGACCAGTTAGTCGATGTAATAAATAGGAGTATGAACAATAATATTTCTGTAAACTTGAAGGATCAAATAGGACCATTCTATGATTGGACTTCAGCACTTAGCTCATTATATCGTAAACCTCCAGTGATTCAAAAATATTATTTTTCCAGTTTAGCTTTAGAAAACCTGATATAATGAGAGCTAAAATCAGGACCACTGATATTTGGGATGAATTTCGGCTACTGAAACAAAATGTTCATGTCAAAAGTTTAAATCCTCAAGAACTTCTGCTAAAAGGTTTTTTTGAAGAAAAGCAAATAAACCTATGAAATAACATTCACCCATATTATCTAATAGCTTTCTGTAACAAATTTTGCTCAAAGCCAGATGATAATATGATAAAGAAAGTTAGTAATCTAAAAAAGACTTGTGAAAAAGAGGCACAACAAAAATGAAAGGTTAAAAAAGATCAATAATAAAGATTAGAAATAACTGATAACTGATAACTACAATGTACATACGTTTATAAATATTGTGTTACTGAAATGACTAGAATATTGATTGTTCATGTGTTTCAACATTTGATCACAATTCTTCAGGGGTTAAAATTGATTAAGATTGGTATAGTGCTTAACGAATAAGATTTTACTTACAGGTTTTCTCTTTGCATCACTCATATGAACAGTCTTTTTCTTTTTGCTACACATAGGTTTTTTATAGTACTGGTTACTTTATTTAATAGGATGTATTCTGTTGGGTCAATTTCTAACTGTACTGTCTCTTAATATGCTGTATTATTTCTTTTTCTAAATACAAGTTCTGTATATTTAATTTTTCTTGCTTTATGTTGTCTTAGTTCTATATATATTACTTCTATTCATTTCTCTGCTTGTTCTGCTATTGTAGGTTTTGTTCTAGCATTTTTTATTGTTTCTTGCTTCATGTGACTATTTTGTTATTGTATTTGTATATCTCCTTTGTTTTCATCTATTATATGTTTTTTAATGTGTTTTCTTTGTTTATTCTTTATTATATATTGTGTATCTTGTATAATAGCAACTGATTTGCATTACAGAGTTAAGCCAATCTCCTAAATAACTTGTAAAGAACAAAATTATCAATGATTTTTTAAGTTTTTCTACTATATCTTTGCTACTTCTGCTTTATTTACTCAAGTCTCTTAAAAGACAGAGTATTATTTTTAGTCTTCTTGCTTTTTTCTTAAAGCTGCAAATTTGTTTCTTATAGCCAGTTGTATATTTCTGTTATTTTTTGATATTGTTTTGTTTTTATATTTTTGTATACAGAGGATCAGAAGTGAGAGTTGTATATATTGACATGTATATATTAGTATTATTCAAAGCTATTCAAGTTTTATTATAGTAATATTATATATATGAGTAATTACAAGATATGAGCAAAACCTCACCTTAATACCAAAAAATATATATATATATGAGTAATTACTTAGTTAAATTTATTAATTCAAGACTTTTACAGATTTTATATTAAATTATATTAGTTTATTTCATTTATATTCAATTTATTTATATTAAATTAATCAAAATTTTAGTCATAGAGCCTAATTGCTACCAAAAACAAGGTTCTTCTACTGCTACTGCAACTGTAAAGCTAATTTACTATCAAAAATAAGGTCTTTGTACTGCTACTTTAGCCACAGTGTCTAGTATTATTTACTATTATACTTTATTTATTAAACTAATTGCCAAGTATCAACTTTATTACTGAGTTATTGCAAGATAAGCAGATAATCTTACTCTATGAAACAATTTTCTTAATATATACTGCCTTTACGAAATATTTATCCTCTTCTATCTTTACTAATTTTATATTTTAAACTTGTATAATATAACATCCTATACTTCTATTACAAATTAACTAATACTGCTTTTGCAAAACATTGTCTGTCCTAATATTATGATAATAACACCCTATACTTCTATACTAATTAACTAACATTTATATAGTTTGCCACAAACAGTTATAAAGACTAAAGTGAAAATTCAATATATTATTCATAAAATCATCAGATCTTCTATGTTGTCATTTTACCTCAATCTATATATTTAATTTAGCAGTTATTATAATTAGACACATACTTTTAAATTTATCGATTTAATTTTTTATAGTTAAGTAAGAATATATATACTTTGTGATTCATTATATTATATGAAATTATTTCTGAGTATTAAAAAAATTTATTTCAATTTTTTTTAATCTTATTATCTTATATAAAATGAATGAATCTTATGAAATTTAGAAGAAACATTTCATGACAACTTCCAAGAAGAAAATTTTCAAGAAGAAAGTCATCAAGAAAATTTTTCAAAAAGAAAGTTATTAAAAAAATTTTCAAAAAGAAATTTCTCAAATATCTGGCTTTAAAAAACCTATGGAATGGCTAATTGCAGATGTTTAGAATTTTTTTAACAAAGGCATTTCTGTAAAAAGTCATTGTTCAAAACAGTATAAAGTATGTGATGCATTTTGGGCACATGTGAAACCTGTAAATTTGGAGGAGCATTTAGCTTTAAATTTTCAAATTAAGATAAAGATATTATAAAATTTTATATTTAAGTTGTTGCTAATCAACAAGGTCATAGTCAAGCATTACTTCAAGAGATTATATCTGGTTCTAATTTAAGCAAAAAAAAATGCAAGATTACAAGTAGTCAAACATCATTATCTAATTTTTTTTTTTTGGTTTTTAAGGTGACCTCTTGGTCGCTGTTCTTTTATTCAATTATTGTTAACTTTTACAGTATAGTATATACCATACTGTACACATATTTGGAAAGTACAACTAGCCACATTTGCAACTTTTGGTTGTCTATTTAAGTAGACCCCTATTACTAAGTTCTATACTAGCTGCCGTACTTATAACTCTACTGAGTTACCTATTTAAACCCTCTGTGCCTATGTACATTAATCCTCTAACCGAGCAAGAGTACATTAGTATCCCCTTATTTTCAGATCCCTGACTTAGAACTTTAAGACAGACTCTAAATTTTTAAAAAGTACTGAACTAACTTCACAACATGAAAATAATATTAATTTAGCTTTAATAAAAGTATTTATAGTATATAATATACCTTTTTTTCATATCATTAACAATCTATATTTTATTGATGCATTACAGAAATTGCGATCTAGTTATTAATCACTACTGAGACAATTATTAGCTAGATAATTATTAAATGCAGAAATAGTTAAAGTTAATTAAAGCATTATAAATATTTTAGATAAAACAAGTAATTTGACTCTTGGTATATTTATAAAATAATTTATTTTATTTTATTGCGCTTTTCAAATTATCATGATCATATGATAATTATTTACTATAAAAACCAGCAAAATTTTCTTAAATTATTTTTTTTATAAAATACCATTTAAAAATTAAGAATTTTAAAGATTTCTTGTTAAATATTAGTTTAATATTTATTGCCCTACTAGATCTTTCAGTTGGCCGATTAAACAGTAAAAATTTTTATTTTTTTAACTATACTTTTATAAATTTTGAGTAAAGAAACCTATTTTTAAGATATTTTTACTTAAAGTTTGAAAACAGATAATATTTAACTTTAATAAAATAAAAATTTAACTAATTAGAGGTCTGATCTGATGAATAGTATATTCAAATATTCATTGTATATTCGAATATTTGAATAATAATTTTTTCACCAAATTGAATATTCAAATATTTAACTTTTTTACCAAATATTTAATGAATATTCAATGAATATATATATATTTAAATCTAAGCTACAAAAAACATTTACTAAATATTCATTGAATATTCAATGAATATTCAGTGAATATTTTTTGTGACTTAGCTAAATACTATTATACAAAATTTATTTTTAAATATTTAAAAAAATTAAAAAAATTTTTAATAAACTAATCTCTCTTAGACTTCTAATTAAGTTGTAGAAAAGGTTTTATGATTTTAATAATATTTAGATCATCCAAATCAAGCTAGTAGATCTCAAGATATTTGAAAGTTACATAAAGTATTATAGTCTATAATACTTTGTATAATTAGCAATTTGTAAATCACTATTTTCGCATCTTTGATTTCAAATATCTTGAGATTTACTAGGCCAATTAGAATCATAAAAATCTTTTTTACAACTATAATTAGAAGCAAATAAGAGATTGGCTTATTAAAAACTTTTTAATTTTTAAAAAATTATTTTTTTAAATTTAATTAGTTAACTAAAAATAAATTTTTAATTTTATTAGTACAATATTAAATTTAATATAAAAACTTATCTTGTTTTATAGATTAGCAATATGTAGAGTATAGAATAAAAAAATAAAATTCAATAAAAAATGTTATTTTTAATATAAAGTTAGAATTACTATAATATAATATTCATTAAATATTCAGTGAATATTCGAATATTTATTTAAAATTTTCAATGAATATTCAAATATTAAAAAGATTGAACAAATAAATATTCGAATACAAATTTTTTGACCAAATTAGACCTCTAGTTGCAAGAAGCTTCTTTAATAATATTATTGAAGATATGAATAGAAATAGTTGTACTATTTCCAAGTAGGGTAATATAGTTATATGGTGAAAGAATATGGTGTTAGGTGAAGATGCTGTTTAGATGGTTTGTTAAGAGTTTAATATAAAGTTTTTTCATATATTCCAAAAGGCATATAGGTCTAGTATTAGTAAGATTTCCATAAAAAATAGGTTTTTTAGATATTGAAAAAATTCTTCTCTCTTTCTATTGTTTAGTTATTTGGTTAGTTGCTAGATATCAATTAAAAAGAGAAGTAATAGCTTGAATAAAATCTGGTCCAGCATGTTTGAACATCTCATAGCTGATGCCTAATGGTCTATATGCTTTGTTGTTTAGTAATTGAGATAGTGTTTGAGAAACCTCTTCTGTAGTAAAGTCTTGGAAAGCAGATTGATACCATATAGTATCAATATTGTGTTTGGTATTATATTCTGTAAGCCAGGTAGTATTGTATATATTTTTATCAATTGCTTTATATGCGGTCTATTGGTTAAAATATTCTTGTATATGAGATTTAATTTCCTTGGCGTTTGTAATTATATCATGGTCAGATTTGATATTCTCAAATTTGATAAAGTCTTTATATTGGTTAAGTATACTATTAATCATGAAAGTAGGATTAGATTGGAGTTTGTTGCATTGTTTTGATAATATTTTTGTCAATTTGTTGTTTGATTTCTTTAATATTTTTAATGTTGCGAGCATGGTAGAGTGCTTTCTATTCATTGTTTGCTGTATTTATCCATTCTGATAAAGTTGAATGGTTAGATGATATATTGGGGATGTGAAGTTGCTGTTGTAAATTGAGATAGTTTATTGTAGAATTGTGGTGGGTGGGTATAGAAGATAAATTTCTAAAGGAATGTTTAATCTGTTTAATAATATTACCAAGTTTTTTAAAGTTATAATAAAGCTTAGATGCTTTGGCAGAGAAGATGTATTGAAAGTTACAGACTGCAAATTTTTTGTTAGAAATATGTTGAAGTGCTGTAGTGATAGTGCTAGTTTAGATTTTGTAATATGTGGATTCTAAAGATGCTGTAGTATTAGATGTATAAGGAGTGTTGTTAGTTTAGAGGTTGGATGAAATTTGTTCTGAGTAGTTTAACCATTGTTCTTCATTTATGTTTTTGTATTGGAAAATTCTTCTTTTGGTTTTGATTAAATGTCAATGTTTGCTTGTAAGTGTATATGGGAAGGACCAAGAAGATATTAAAATTTTGTGATTACTTTTGATACAAGTATCAGTATCTTTAAGATAAAATAAGGTTAAGTAGCGGAGAACAGGATAATGAAACCAGATGTAGTTGATACGACTACTATTATGTCTGCTATTGTGCTATGTGGTGTTTGTAGATTGTGTATAGACTACTAAGTTATATAAGTTGTTATATTGAAGAAAATAAAAAAGCTTATATTTAATAGATAAAGATTGCATATTATCACTAGAAGCATTAAAATCTCTTATAACTATAGGTTGGATATTTAAGAAAATAGCTTGTTGAATTCATTGGATAATGGTATTTTGGATTTGTAAACAGAGTTGAGAACTATCACAAGGCAGATAAGTGTTAATTATTCTAAACTTAAAGTTATATTTAAAGAAAAGGTCGATAGCAATAGCATATCCTGATTCAGTAAGAATATTATGAATATGTGGTTTAAGTTAAATTTGGATTATAATAGCAACACCTGCTTTAACACTATCTGTATCAGGGATGGTAAATGACCTGGTCATTTGATCAAAATTTAAATGACCTCAAGTCATCAAATAATGACTAGGTCATTTGGGTCATTAGGTCATTTGGGTCATTTGTATATAAAGCAGTTTTATTGGTTAAATTACTCATAAAAAAGTTATTGAGCTCTATTACTATTCTAATTGATAATCGTAGCTATATATTAAAGCTGATCAAGATTATAAATTTTGTAAATTTTGAAAAATTTCATGTAAATTGAATACCTTTTTATTAATTCACTTTCGCATATTACGTTTATATAAAAATTTTTAAAATCTTTTTATATAAACATAAAATGTGGAAGTAAATTAATAAGAAGTTATTCAATTTACAAATATTTCAGAGCATATGCAATTTTATTATCCTAAATAACTTTACTTAAGGTATAATTTAGTAAAATTTTGTTTTGATATATAGTTACGATTATTGATTATATTTTTAATAAAATTTAATTTGTTTTTTGGCCAATTCTAATTAGTTAAAAGGTATTAGAATATTAACTAACATATGTTAAATGACCTTCTAAGGTCATTTAGGATTTGAAATGACAAATGACTAGTCATTTGTCATTTGGGTCATTTGGGTCATTTCAGGTCATTTGCCATCCCTGATCTGTATAGGACCAAAAGTAAGAGAAGAGTATAGATTTTTGAAGTTGAGTAATTACATTGTCTTTAGAAATCTTAGTTTCTGTGATACTAATAATATTGAGGTTGTTAGAAAGACAGAAGTCTTTTCAGACTTGTTTTTTAGGTTTTCATTATATCTTCGTATATTATGAATACAAATTGATAAATTAAGACTCTGGTTTTGTAAAGTAGTAGAGCGGTTATAGTAATAGAGCTCTGTTATAACATTAGAGCTAGGATCTGGTGATTCAGGTAATGGTGGTTGGGTTGGTAGAAATATATCTGGTGATGAGAATAGATTTGAAATAGTTGGTAATGCTGGTGATGAGAATGGATTTGGAATAGTTGGTGATACTGTTGATTGTGCTATAGCAGTTTGTTGTTCTGTAATGAGAGATTCAGATATTAATGGTAAAGTAGCTAGAAAAAGATCTGTTAGTATATTGGGTATCATATAGCTATTAGATTTAAGAGTGATA